CCTTTTAGTCCTTATTTACACTTTCAGTTTCTCACACTAGAGAAACTATTTGGTATTTACACGTGTGTCCTATTTATTTCACTTAAGAGTATCGCCTCAGTTTGCATCCATTTAGCTATAAATGTTTCTAATTTCTCATTTTTTATGGCTGAGTAGTACTCCATTTTATAAAAAATAAACCCCGCATTTTCTTTATCCAGTCTCCAGTCTCCTTTTAAAGGCCAAATCCAAGTTTCTAGAATATATTTTCATCTTCTAGCCTAGCTCAGTGATTTCTATATGGAAAACTATTAAAATACATACACACATTTATTACTGCACAATGCTCACTCACCAGATGTCTGAGTTCTTTCAAATCCCGACACACGGTGTAGAAAACTCCAAGAAGAATATTGATGTAGGCAGCATAGAAATCAGCTGAGTACTCTGGAGGATGATCGTGGCACAGGATCTTCTGAAGGTTGCCTGTGCACAGGACACCGACTAGGTTTTAATGACTAGCACAGCACCCAAACCTGATCTGTGTGCATTTTCTAACAAAGGTTTAAAAAAACAGATACCCAGGCCAAGCAATAAAGCATAATAAACCACTTACAAGATTAGAATAGAAAAGTGCGATTTTGTGACACAGAAATAAGTATGTGTTTGTCTTTGTTCCAAGTTCCCGGCATAATCTAAAATCTCAAGTGAGCAAGTGAAAAGACTGTCTTTTATAACACTTTCAGACACACCTGAGTTTATAATAATGAGGTGATCCTCACTGGGTCCCTAGACAGATGAAAGATGGGAACTGGCTGGCAGAGGGTCTACCCTTTGACCTCCAGGGAGAACAGCTGAAGACCCAGCTCCTCCCCAGTGGCAGTGACTGGATCATTCATGCCTAAATAACAGAGCCTCCACAGAAGCCCCTGAAGGATGGCGCAGAGACTGCTTCCAGATTGGTGAATGCATCCACATGCTGGGAGGAGCAGCACATTCCCATTTCAGTGAGACAGGAGTTCCCATGCGGGGGACCCTTCATCTGGCAGATCACTTGTGTCCTTAACAACACGATTTACAAGAAAATGGTAATAGTACATGACATGCTGAGTTCTGTGAGCCATTCTGAAAAATTACTGTTCTGAAGGAGGGAGTCAGAGGAACCATCAATTTACAGCAGTTTTCTGAAGCACAAGGGGAAATTTGGGATTTGCAACTGGCATTTAAAGTGGGAACAATCTTGAGTATCAGACCTGTGGAGTCTGCACTAATTCCTCGTAGTTAGTTTCAGAAGTAAATGAACTTTCCACTCGGTGTCTAGACAACTGGAGAACTGTTTGTTTCAGTGCAAGGAAAAGTCAACACATTTGGCAACACAGTGTTTTCCGTAGAAATGATTCAGAAAATGCAACACAAATTTTCAAACTCCAGTCAAACAAAGTACTGTTCTAAAAAGAATTGCAAAATGTTGCTAAGTCACATATAAAATAGTATCTAAGAAAAATTTCCTGAATCTTATTATTGGTAAAATCAGTATCAAAGGTATAAATAACACAGATTCTAGTTTTTCTGTTAAATCAACTAGAAAAAAAAAAAAGCGTAGTACAAAAACTATTAATCAGTAAACTAAAAATTCTAATGATCTTCACTTTTCATAAAATAAAAATAATTGTTGAAATATTTTAAATAACCGTCCCTGATGCCAATGTTTGCTTTGTCAGTCCTCCTTTTAAAACACGTTTTACCTACAATTTTGGTATCTTTCTTTTCTATTCTATTGCAAGCTCTTCAGATAATATTATATGTTTAGAGTCCTAACATTATATTTTATCTTGCTGAAAATATATTAGAAGCACAGTTACCATTAAAAAGGAACAACCATGTATTACTTATAATTTCCCAGTCACTGTACATGAATTAATTAGTCATTTACTCCTATCACAGTATCCTCTAAATCTCTGGTGCTAGAGTCTCCTTAGACTTTAGTTAAAAACTCTTTGAATATAAATAATACTTTAAACCTAGTTCTAGATGATAAGTCTTTAGCAGTAATTTCAGGTAAAACCTCTTCTAGGATGTTCTGATTCTGTCCATTTACTTTTATTTAAGGTTCCCATTAAATAAGCAGGTTAAGCATGCTCAGTTCTTCATTTTAATCTCTCATTCCTGATAATCATTTAGATATACTATAACTGGAAAAATCAAATGATAGTGACTACCAACAAAGAGAGCAGAGCTTAGAAATACCTGTATTTAGGATATTTTAAACATAGTTGACAAAAAACTACTTCAAAGCCTAGTTTAATGCTTAGAATATTATCCTGGGGGGATACTTAAGTGGAAGATAGTAAAATGGCATTATTATTAATTTGCTTAATTTTTATAGTGCTGGAGATTGAACTCAGGGCCTCATGCTTGCTATGCAAGCACTCTACCAGTGAGCCACATCTTCAGCTGGGAATTGCATTTTTATATCAAAAGCACTGAAAAAAAATATACAAAGTCAAAACTTGACTGTGGGTCTATGTACTTTTGCATTTTGATAGCAAACTTTAAATATGATGGCACTAAGTTTTCTTAAACTATGCATAAGAAAATATTTGATACACTGAAAATTTCTAAAAGGTACCTTAAAACTTAGATACATATAAAAGATAAAAGATATGAAATAACTGGATAAATGGAAGGAAGAGAGGAGAGAAAAAAAGATATGGATGGGCACACAGATGAATATACAAAGGCACAACAGATGGTCTATAAATGCGTGGAGGAGGAAATCTGGAGAACATATGCATCTCCAGCTCAGACCACACTCCTGGGCACTCCAGCTTAGATGTTCATTCTGTGAGCATCTGTGTAGATAAGCCATTCAGGGAACCCTCAATATCCCATAAGAAAGCTGGTTAGATACTACCATTGGGCCATTTTAGCCCCAACAATCACCCTGTAAGACTCAAACTCTCAATGCATTGCTTTAAGAGTAGCCCAGCCGCTCTGGAATAGACTACAGTATTTCAAACAGGTCTACATTAGGTAAGTCATGCTAGATCTAATAGTCTAGGACCATTCAGTTGTAGAAAAAAAAAAATAATCCCATTTCTAACAGAAAACTTATAGTAAATGAAGGGGAAGAGAAACTTTCTGATTAATCTCCTGGTATCTTAAAATTTCACTTTCAAAGCACAGTCTAAAACACAAAGAAAAGCCATGGTTTAATATAAATAATGCACTTCCAGAAAAAAAAAGCTTGGGGGGGGGGTGGCAAACAAAATATTTAAAGAAATAATGGCTAAAATTTTTCCTAAGTTGTATGAAAATATACACGAAGAAGTTTTTTAAAAATCTTAAGGAGAATTAACAATGAAAGATTTTTTTCTTGCCTTTTTAGTTCATTAAAGTCAAAGTAATATTATGTAGTTTATAAAAAAGGTAGAAAATGCAGGAAAGCAACAGCACAAAGATTGTGAAGCAGGGAATTATAAACCACTGATATTTTCATATCTCAGCATATCCTGATTGACATAGTATCTATGCCAAAAGCTTCATCAAGTGCATTATAATCTATCTAAAAGAAAAAATACATAACCAAAAGACAAGTGATCTGCATGTGGTAAAGACCAGGAAACAAGAGTTCTACACTGGGTCTTTTGGCAAAACTGCACATCCCGAAGTGCAACGTAAGCATTAAGTTTAGCAGGACAGGATGAAATTAACCACCAAGCTCACCCCTTCACCCTGGTTTCACACTTACTCTAACCAGTTTGGTTTATCAACTCTTTCTTTCTTGAATGGGTTTTTATCTGATTACAGTGGTTATGTCTTTTAAAAAGCTTGATACATAAAACTGGATACTCAGATTTAAGCTGGCTTCATTATTATATACTTTTTAAAAACTTGTTATCTTACACTATAAAATTAATCATGTTGTTGTTCTCATTCTCCATCTATGCTGCTTTGTGTCTTTAAAATTTTTTAATCAAATACAATTACATGATACTTTAACTTTACAATGATGTAAAGAGCCAACATTTGAATAATTTCTTAAATTCCAAATATATTTTCGGTGTTTAAAAATGAAATAGAAAATAAAAAATTTAATTACATATAATGATGACATAGATCTAAAGGAAACTTTTTAAGTGAAATCCTTTCATTTATCCTTTTTTTCTATTTTTTTCTTTATTTTGTGACTTTCACTGATGAGAAGCTATTAAAATATAAGGGATCTTTTCATCTATTCTGGGTTACTTTAAAAAAAAAAAACAATGAGTGAACTAGCTAAAGCAGTAGGTGTTATCTGGCTGCTGTTCTTGTGAAAACAGGCAAAAATGTGTTGCTCTTAACAATGAATGTTTACAGCTGATTAGTTCAGAGGAATAGTGTTAATGAGGCCAAAGTCATGGGATGCTATTTTCTCAAAGGCTGCTAAGCACCCTATGCTTCCCAACTAGAATCTGTGAATCAGAAATATCACCTTTGTATAGTGATAGCCCAATATTAATCTGCAGATACACAACAACATAAGAAGCCATTGTATTTTTCCAAAAGATGAAAATCACCAGGACCTAAAACATTTGAGGTTAAATATAATCTCAAAAAAAAAGAGAAGCACAGGGCTAGCAGTTGGTACAAATCTACAGCGATGAAAACTAAGATTTACAAAATCCAAAGAAACGTTCATTCCACATGGTATTTCCAAGTATACCTGTAAGTATACCACAACGTATATGGTAAATAAAGATTTCCACAGAATTTTAATGTTTTACCAATCCAGTCTGATTCTTATTTGTGTAGATGTTTAATTACAATATACAGAGACATCTTAATGTACTGATAAAAATGAATAAAACAGACTATTATTATTCAAATATTTAGTAATTATATGAGTATCCCCAAAGCTCCAAAAGAAAACTTTGTAAGTGAAGATATATAAACAGCATTTGAGATTGTCCACAAATCCTAACAGTTTAACATAACAATGTATTGCAATTTGAACATATTAGCTTAATCTTTCAAACAACAAAAACTATTTTACTGAATTTTAAAACCAACGTTTTAAAATTTACCTATGCTATAATCAGGGAAATACAAGACAAATGGCTCAAAACATCCAGTATTCGGACGAAACTTTTCCCAAATAATTTCACTGAGGAAGAGAACAGTCACGTTTCTGCCAGTCTACAAAGAAAGAGAAATAAAAGTAAATCTGCATTTAAAAAATTTAATCATACCAGTAACTCCATTTGGATTTTTCTTAAAGTAAACTAAGCAAAGCTCTAACATATAACAAATTATTTCCATATTAATAAGCCACATTTAGAAAACCTAATCAAGGAATTCAACCATTTGCAGATTTTCATACATAATTACTTAGAATTTCCATAAAATTTATAGGTTAATTAACATTTCAGTTAACCATGAATGCTAGAACAATCATACAACAACTTATTTTATAAACACATTTGCTTTAAAAATTATGACAAAACCCTTTTACGTGATTTTTTTAAAAACCGTAAGTTTTCAATCAATAACAAGAAATGGCAAAACCTATCATTTCTCATCATTAAAATAGCTACAGCACTCAGAAAAGAAGAAATGTGTAGTTGAAAAAAAGCAGATATGTCATACTATATAACCTTGTATTACTAGGAAAATTTAAGGTTTTCTTAAGGGATATTTTATTATTGAGTAAAACTGATGTTGAGTACACATTAAAAATATGGCAATTAAGTATGAGTACTGGTATCTAAAAAAAAACCAATGCTAAGTAAAACAAGCATCTTTTTGAAGAATGTTTAGAAATTACAACAAGAATACAACAACGAATATAAAAAGAACAAGGTCACTGTGTCTGAAATGCTCCCAAAGGGTAGCCACAAATGCCAGTGCATGCTAGCTAGAATTTATCTGTACATGTCTCTGCATTCTCCACATCAATTTTAATTTTTCTCATATTCTTTTTGATATCTCCTAGGCTGACAAAGCAGAGATAGCTATTTTTTTCTACATATATTTAGAGGGGCCAATATCATACAAAATTTGTACTATACTTTTATAGTAACTTACTATTTATTGATTCTGAACTTACATGCTCTTTATATACCAATTTTCATGACTTAGAAAAAGATCCTTTTGGTCGACAGCTTTGTATGAGTAATTCCACAGAAAATCTAGCATCTTTATGAAAGAGAGGAAGACGTTTCAAATGCTTTTTATGTCTTATAAATGGATTGATTTTTAAGAATCTCTGATTTTCTGCAGGCTAAAACAAATACACTGTAACTACCATTCTAATTATAAAGCATTTTATAACATCAGTTGCTAATTTAAATTTCATTTTACTCATAAATAATATAAAAAATAAGAAATATCTTCATTAGATTTCTCTTCAATGAAATACATTTTAAAAAATCAAGCATTTTTTCAAAAATGTCAAAATAATAACTCACTTTTCTAATGGAGTTGAGGTTAAGTAAATCTTTTCATTTTTCTTCAAATAGTTTCTATAATTAAAACTAAAAAACAATAAAAGGCCTAACTACTGTGAAGGGATATATGACTTGCATTCTTGCACATGTGGCGGAGCAGATGAGGCATCTACAGTAGAAGGGCAAGAGGACAAGAATGTATCGGATACCAGATGGGGAGTCCCACAGGAAAGCAATGGATGCAGATACACAGAAAAACCCACGAACATAAGCAAATCAAATAAAAGGAAAGGAAGGAGGAGACATCTACCCAAAGCAGTCAGGTCTCTGGTCTCAGCAATAAAATGCCAGGAGTCAAGGACTGAGAAAGGCTGGATGGGTGGCATTAATGTTCAGAATGGAGCCACAAGAATTACACTTCCTTTCCTTCTGTCTATATCTGTCTTGACTCTTAAATATGAACTCTGGGAGTCCACCTGAGGGATACAATGGTTTCAGTGGCACCTAAACTTTCAGCAGTTTCACAAATCTGATTAATATATATATTTAACTTTGAAAAGGGGGAAATGCTCTAACATTTCTCTCCAAGTATTTAATTTTTATCATGTTACTACTTTAATACATACAAACTAGATAGGTATAAACTATGTTCAAAGTCCTGAAAAAAACCCAAAACATACATAATGAACTGCAAAATCAACAAAATTTAAATTAATATTAACTGAAAATTATGAATGGTACTTTTCTTTTGCTCCAACTAACTCTTTGCTTCTTAGTTGAATAAGGTCTTAATCAGAAATTGCCAGAGTTTGCTAAAAAAAAATGTAAATTTTTTTAAGTTAAGCATTCCATTATTAATGTTGGTAAAGACTGGATTCTCTCACCAATTTTCTTTATTCGAAGGACTCCAAAATCGTTTTTCCCACTTTATTATCTTTCACCTGACACATGCGTATGGAAATTCATCCCTGTTCTTTTCTCTCTGGGCCATGACAATCATGGTAGTATTTATATTATTCACTGTCAACACAACAGTGAATTGAACCCCAAGCTAAACTCTTGACACTGAGTGGCCATAAGACAGAAATCAAGATGATCCAGAATAACTACACCATTCTTCTTATTATAATGAAAATATAAAACTCTGTGTATAATCCAGGCATGACAGTGAATGCCTGTAATCTCAACACTCAGGAGGCTGAGGCAGGAGGATGCTGCAAGTTCAAGGCCAGCCTGGGCTACACAGTGAGTTGAAGGCCAGCCTGAACTACGTGGCAAGACCTTGTCTCAAAAACAAACAAAAACTCATATAGACCAAACCCTAGCCCCCTGGCATTTACTCTAGAATAACAGAGAAATGAAGTGCAAATTAAATTTATACTAAGATACCAATTTTCAACTATCAGATGGCAAAATGAACAAATGTAACACAATGCAATCCCTGGGAATGCGTCTATTGATTTATTGTTAGGGAAAACCATTCCCATGTATTACTTACCAATTCTTGTAACCTAAGAAACCCAGGTAAAAGATTTGCTTCCATATCTCTTAGATAGTCTGCTTTATCTAGAACCTTTATAAAAAGAGAAAATCAAAACATTTACATAACTCAAAACTTGATCTTTCCATATTACAAAGAAAAATTGTGACTTGTAAATTAACTTAAAATATTATTTATATTTGTAGAAAGACATTGCAAATAGGTTAAATAAGTTTAAAAACTTATAACACAATTTAATCCAAACTACACTTAAAAAGGTTTACTTTACAGGCATACTATCAAAAAATATGATGGTGTAAGGTGCTATGAGAGTATTTCCTTAGGGATATAAGAAATAATAATCATCATATGACTATCATGTACCAAAAGTTACAGGTCTTCATGACCCGAGGAAAATAATTTTAAATTTCATCACATAAAACATTTCTTGCTTGAACTCTGTAACTGCATGGTAATCCTTGTTTGACTGGGTGATCGACTGTGTTAAGAAGGATTAAATTTCTGTTCAGTGTTATGATGTTACTGGAATAATGACGATGCTAAACAAGGTCCTTGTGTCTTAGAGTTATGCAGTGAGGCATTTAAGAAACACATGATGTGATGCAGGGAACAGCAGAATGGATACAGATGATACAAGTTTCGCCATGTGGTAAATACTGAAACTCGGTAATGAGCTCATGAGGTACATGACATTACTCTCTTGACTTCAACATAAGGCCAACTTGTTTCTTCTATACCAGTGATGATGCCCTTTTAGAGCTTCCAGTAACAAACAGCTCACTGTGGCATGTGTGCCATAAGTACACCACCACTGTTCTACACCATCTCTTAATTTTCCCCTCCACCACCTTGTTGGATTATTAAAATAAATGCCAGATATCATATCATTTCATTCATAAATGTCAGTATGCAGTTTTAAGAAATAAGGGCTCCTTTTTAAAAATATAATCATGTCATCATTCATAAAAAAATCAACAATATTTCATGATAGCATCTAATAACCATGACTTACATTTCCCTACTTGTCCCTTATTATTAGCTTATTTGATTCAAGATTCAAAAAGGTCCACAATTGTATGTTGTTACATTTAGATGATCTGTCTTCAGAGTTTTTTTTTAAATTGCAACAGTTCTCCCTATCCTTTAAAAATTTTTTTTTGTTATTTATGAAACCAGATAATCAATCATGCAGAACTTTCCATATTCTGTATTAGATGATTTACATCTTTGTAATGGCATTTAACCCATTTCTATACCCCTACATTTCTTGTGAAGTGGTCAGCAGATCTTGACATGTGATCAGCTTCAGGTTCAAATTTTGGACAAGAATATTACATGGGCAGCAGTATATGTTTCTTGTTACTTTACATCAGCAGGCATACAATACTTGGTGTTTTCTCTTTTTTTGTTGAGATGAAAACTGATTCACCCATTATAAAGTTCCTCAGCAGCCTTTTACCTAATGACTTCTGCTAATTCATGGTCACTGCTTATATCCTCTATTTCATTAGGGAGTGAAAAAGCATAAATTTCTGTCTCTGTTTCTGCATTGAGCAGGAGACAGTTTTCTACAAAGAACATTCTCTTATTCATGATTTTGCTATCTGAGTTCACAAAGGACAGGAAGGATAAATGTTTGCTTCTTTTCTCTAATTTACCAATTTTCAAAATAATGAGTTTGTAGCTTATTAATTTCCTATGGACGTTGTAACATTAGCACAAACTTGGTAATTTACAATAAACTTAACATTTATTTTCTCATAGTTCTGGAAGCTAAAGGTCTGCCAAACCAAGGTGTTGGTAGAGCTATGTTCTCTACAGTGGCTCTAGTAGAGAATCCACTCCTTACCAGATCCAGCTTCTGGAAGCTATGGTATTCCTTGGCTTCTGCCTTCAACATTCCAATCATCAAGGCCAACTTTTTCAACTTTCTCACTGACTGCTTCCCGATGCTTCTGGTACCTGGCACTCTCCTCCATTTGTGTGGTATATTTAAGTCTCCCTCTACTTTGCTTCCATACTGACAGTGAATGTGATGGCATTCCAGGCCCACCCAAACAATCTAGGTAAATCTCCCCACCTCAAGATACTTCATTTAATTCCATGTGTAAATGTCCTTTTTACAAGGTAACATTTGCAGGGTCCACAGTTTAGAACCTGGTACCTTCATGGGACCATTACTCAGTCCACTGCAGTGTCTTAGTAACTGAAATGCCCAACATAGCTAATGAGTTGGGGTTTTGTGTTTTTTATGTATTTGTTTGGTGCTATCAATTTATAAATTTTAAAATATTTAATATGTTTCTGCCCAATTAATTCATCTTTTTTTTGATGTTCAAGTTGTCTTATCTTTGGCCAGCTGAAGCCCCTTCAAACTGGCTTCTGTGTCTTTTTTAAAAGACCATACTAGTCACTGACAGTTCCCTAGCTTTCTAATGTGGCAAAATGTTCCAAGGCTATCTTGTACATTTTCCAGAATTAAACTTATCCTTTCTTTAAAAAGCCCTTTTTATTTTTTAAACCTTTATACTTTACTAGTAAATCTTAGTATAGACTGTAAGCATTTAAATTAGGACTAAAATTAAAATGTAGAAAATATATTAGTTTCCCCCAAATAATTTGTTTCTATTTTATTAGTAGACAGTTTTAAACTACATATAAGAATCATATTTAAAATGTTATTCCTCATTAGTTTAGAAAAAAAAGCTAAAATTACTACAGATACAAATTAATTTCTCTACTATGCATTCTCATTACGAAATTTTCCCATCAATCTTCAAATAACTCTGTAATCCAGAATACAGATTCAAATAAATTGGTCTATTTTCATGCCCATTTTAATAAAAAACATAACACTAAAACAGTAAACAGTTCATTCCTGATTTGATAAATTAGCTACTGTAATGAAATGATTTTACCACATTTTAATTAATGATTCTCTTTAAAAGCTATTATCAATGGAGAGAAGTAAAAAGAAAATGCAGAGAAGTCAAAAATTCTAACTCAGATCCAAATATTTCTCTTAATAATTTACATTAAGGCATTCTAATAAACTATCTGTAAGTGAATTACTAACTGGAAAAAGAAATTCTTAGCCACCTATCTTAGTAATGAAGATTACCAATTTATATATTAGACAGCTGAACATTCTGTTTACTCTAAAAAATTACTACACCAAACACCTGACTACTTTTCTACCCTTAATGTTTAGGCAAGTAACAAATACTTACTGATCTATTGGGCCTGAAAAATGAAGAGGGCCCTAGTTACTCCTCATGGCAGTTTCTAGAACACTGACTCTCCCTCCTCCCTAAAGGTCACTCTGTTTTGAAATTCTACTTGCTGGAGTCAGCCACCTATTCTGGAATCAAGGCATTTCATTTATGAAAAATGAGTTTTTTATTACCAACTCTCTCAAACAACTCCTATAGGTTTTGGATATTTCAAAATCCACAAAAAAAGAACCTCTGTGGATATGCTGATCTCTTTACTTCCTTAGATTATGAAACTATTTTCATAATACTAAAATGTAACTGCCTTTCTTGACATGTTGACATTTGCAGCGATGGTTATTGAAAAAAAAAAAAAAAAAGCAATGGTGGGTTAAACTAGAGTCACCTGAGTATAAATCAGGGTGATGATGATGAGATGCCCTGGTAGTCACTGTATTCTTCACTATGTAGTTGCACTTGGGAGTAGAAGAGATGTGCTTTTTCTAAATCCTCCTGATTACATAAAACTAAGAACCCTGAAGATCATACACAAAACTAGCAAAGCTTTGAAAAGTGAAGAGAAGACAGACCAGGTGGGAAACACTAGGATCAGAAGAACGACAATTCACCTCTTGAGTGTGTACATATGGTCTTTTTGCCTCTGTATTTCAGGCATGGAGCTGAAGAAGCCAGGAATACAGAAAAAACAGTAAAAGCAGCTCCCAACCCCACTCCCACACACAAAAACTGCTCTTCCCAGGAAGGGGCACCCTAACAAGACTTCCAGGATTTCTGTACAGCATTGACTGCTTCTGTCTCTTTGTTCTTTCTCATCTTATCCCCTGAGCATGGGATGCTAGAGGACGAGGTCACTGGTCTCACCTCTTTTCTAACTCACTCTCTCTGTGACCTAATCCAGTCTCAAGGATTAAGTATATATGTTTGCCACACCAAAATATCACCTCCACATTGGTCCTTTTTTGAACTCCACACTTGTGTGCAACTGCAAACTCAGTATCTTCCACTTGGACTTAGCATGCCCCATTTAAACTCCTGATCACTCCTTCCTCCCCAGCAGTACCCACCTGCTATCATTCTTCATATTCAGATAAAAACAACTTCATCATTTTAGGTGTTCATTTTTCAGAAATCCTTGACTTTTTTTTTTTTTTAGCGCCTCCACACAGAAGCTGTCAACTGGATTTTCAAAATGAATCCAGGCCACTTTTTACCACCTCTATTGCTACTAACCTAGTCCAAGCCAGCATAGTATTTTGCTTAGAGTACTATAAGAATCTCAAAAATAGTTGTGTTAATTCCCTAGGACTGTGTGAGGGAAAAGACAAACTACAGTTTCACAACAGGCTGGCCAAATGTACGGTACCATTCCAGACAAATTCTCCAGTTCTCAACTGGCTGTCCTACAAGTCAATTAAATTCTGACACTATCTACTAGGAGTTAAGAGTCAGATTACACAAGCTAAAGAGTCAGTCCCAGACTCCCCCCATATCAGATCCCAAACACAAGTCTAGGTTTCCCTTCTGACATCTGACTAACTAGCTATAACTCAAGGGTTCCCAGGACAACTACCTTAAATTTGGTAAATTGCTAGAACAGCTCACAAAATTCTGGGAAACAGTACTTACATCTACCTGTTTAGTAGAAAGGTTGTAATTCAAGGAAAGCCAAATAGAAGAGATGCATACCACCAGGTGTGAGGGAGAAGTATGGATCTTCCATATTTCCCTCTTCAAGTGCACCAACCTCCCAGTACCTCCAAGTGTATTCAGCAATCTGAAAGCTCTGTGAACCCTGTCCTTTGGGAATTTTGTTAAGGTTCCATTATGTTGGCATTTGACTAAATCACTGGGCACTGGTGACTAAGTCAACCCCCAGTCCCTCTCCCCACCCCAGGGATCAGGATGTGGAGCTCAAAGTTTCAACCCTCTAATTACACGGTTAGTTACCCTGATAATCAGCCCTCATCTTGAGGCTCTCAACGAGTTCCCAACTATCAGTCCACTCATTAGTTTAAAATAGACACATCACTTAGGAAATGCCAAGGATTTGGGGAGCTTCGTGTCAGGAAATGGGGAGAATACCAAATATATATTTCTTATGATATCATAGTATCACAGGCTACAGTAACAAAATACCACAAACAAGGTGGCTTAAATGACAACTGCCCTCACAGTTCTAGAGGGGGGAAGTCTGACGTCAAAGTGCTGACAGAACCTTGTTTCTCTGAGGTGCTAGAGAAGAATTTGTTCCAGGCCTCTCTGCTAGCTTCTGGGAAGTTCCTTGGCTTGTGGTAGCATAACTGCTATCTTTATTCCTTTGTGTATTCGTCTCCAAATTTCCTCTTTTTCCAAATCATACTGGGGTCTAGCCTCCTCCAATATGACCTCTTAACAAATTAGAATGGTAATGACTTTTCTTTCCAAAAAGTAATGGGGGCTAGAACTTCAACATAGAAATTTTTGGAGAAAACACTCATACTAGCATGTGTGCTTCTACTCTTGCACCCTTCAGTTGATTCTCAACAAAACCACTCTCCCCCTTATACTACTCTAGCCACAATGGCTTCTTTGCTATTCCTTGAATATACAAGGTATGCTCCAATTTCTTTGGCACCCTGGCATAATCTCTTTGCCTAGCATATTCTTTCTACAGTTATGTTCATGGCTTGACTCACTTCCTCAGGTTTTGGCTCAGATATCATCTCAGTAAGGTTTCCTCTATTTAGGAAGATAACTACTGTACTGTAGTAGGTTCTTGACCCACTACATGTTAATTTACTATCTATCTTCCTTAATTACACTAGCTACATGTGGACAGAAACTACCTTTTTCCCTGTTCCATCTATAATACCTAGACTAGAGTCCCTGGAAATTCTCAAAAAAATATTTGTTGGATGCTTTATACATGTAAGAATGCAGAAAATTTGGTCCCCTTACTCAATTTGTAAAGTAGCTGTTACAATAAGGCATGACAATAAAATTTAATTCCGGTGATAATCATTTCTCTTAAAAGGATTCTCTTAAAGCATTAAGAAAAATTCACTAATGTAAAACACATAATAGGCCCCCTTCGCTGGAGGTTTGCTTTCCATGGTTTCACAATCCAAAATTATTAAGCAGAAAAATTCCAGAAATAAATAATTCATTTTCAATTTCACACCATTTTTAAGTAGCATGGTGAAATCTCTCACTGTCCTACTCTGTCCTATCAGGGGCGTGAATCATCCCTTTGTCTAGTGGATCCACATTGTACACACTATCCACCTGCTAGTCACTTAGTCATTAGACCCACTGTCACAGTATCAAATTGCTTATGTTCTAATATCTTTTGTTTTACTTAACTATCACTCAAAAGTACAACAGTAGTGATGCTGGAAATTTGGATAAGGCAAAGAGAAGCTTCTAAGTGAAGATAAAAGTATATTTTGAGAGAGATACCACATTCATATAATTTTAATTATAACTGTTCCATTAATTATTGTTAATCTTTTACTGTGCCTAATCTATAAGTAAAAATTTATCCTAGGTATGTATACACAGGAAAAATTTATCTAGAGTTTGGTGCAAGCCACAGTTTTGATCCCACGGGGTCCTAGAATGGATTCCTCACATGTAAGGGGCACTACTATAAATATTTTCAGTTGAGCACTAGTAATTTTCACATTGATTTAACAATTACAACACAAACTTAGCCCACCTAAAATCAAACAGCTAACTTTCTCCCACAACCCATCCCATATACACAAGTGACAAATCTGAGCCCTGCTGTCTCTATTTCTTTTTGCTGCTTCTGCCTCAACTCTAATACAGGACCAAATTTCTTCTTCTGTAGTCACAGTATCCTCAAAACCATTCTTTTAGTCAGCATGTTCTTCACAGTAATCTTCCTAAGGCATAACAGTTGCTCTAAAATCTTCCCTACTTCCTTCTACAACCTAGGAAATGAAACAAACTGCTTTGGTACGGTTTTCAAGACCTTCTACAACCTGGCCCCAGTCTACCTTTCTAATCTTCATTTTCTCCCTTTATAATTTAAAACCTACTAAAAATATTTGGCAATCTCTGGACTCCACTCTCATCTGTATGCCTTTGGTTATATCACTCCCTACATCTGAAATTCCTCTTCAGTTTCTTCCTGTATTACCAGTTTCTTTCAGCGCCATTTCAAATGCTATCACCTCATGAAGCTGCACCAGATGTACCTAAGTCAATACTTTGCGCCTCATGGCTATCACTTATCACCTATCACCTTCTGCATGCTGTCATGTATAAATATGTGTTATGACTCTTCTACTGAAGCTCCCTTTAGATAAGGAATAGCTCTAATACATTTTTGTATCTAAAAAACACCTTGCAGAGCATTGTACAAAATAAGATGCAAAATATTATGTGGAAATTGATCTAATACACAATTTAGTTTTCAAATAAATGATATAATCAAATTATATTACTTACAATATATACAGTCTGATTCTTGAGATTTTCAGCTTTGGTTACTTGTTTAAACAAGCGAACAAAGTCATTAAATGTTTCACAAGTTATTTCAGTAGAACATCCCTCCTCTGAAGAACTAAGATGACTCAACTTGTTCAAAATTTGTTCCAAAAGCAGCCTTAGAGTAAAGCATTCAACACAATTCACAAAGACATGTGGGAGCTGAAAACAAAAACCAAAAGAGTGTAAATATAAAAAAAAATACATAAGAGCTTTGGTATATAGTGTAAACCCCACCATTCCTCAATCTGTCCTCTGCCCCAGGAAGTAGATCACTTTGGCCTGCATTACCTGGACTCTTTTATCTGGCTCAGCTGGAGAAGCCACTGGGAAGAAATAGCAGGACACTGAAGGAGAGCAGGTGAGAGGGAAGCTGAGTATTCTCTTCACTTCCCCTCTCCTCCTGTGGTCCAGTTTGGCAGTGGCTACATTCTTGTACCATAGACCACAGCTCCAGCAGAGCAGCCCCTCTTCTAAGGCCATAGTTTTTGCTGGATGCTGGCAACAGCTCCTGTTTAAGGTCCTTTCCGGTATGAGATAGTAAGGTCCTGAGTTGTCACTGGCCTATCTTGATCCCTTAAAGCTCTCTCAACCTTTGTAAAAATAACCCCTTCATTAAACGCACTGCAATTATTTAAGTTTGTCATTTGTTTCCTATAGGAATTAAAAGCAAATTTCTACTTTCATCTAAAAAATTGTAATAGAGAAACCCAGGTATATACAAAAGTTAAAATTCTTAGTAGGAATTTCCTATTTATAATTTTAAAATAATATTATCTTTTATGATGAATAAACCTAGGTCAAAAAAGCTGGAGTCAGAAACCATAATAATACTTCCTTGAGGACTGTACAAACTAGCTCCACATTTAAAGGACTACTAGTATGAGGCAATTTTGCAAGTATTAAAGAAACAAAACAAATGTAGTCTGTTTCTAAAATGAAATTACAAATGCAACACTAATCATTCAAAGAAAGATAATGTACGGCATTTGGGACAAATAATGAAACCTTTAACTATTTTTAGTGAAATTTTCTAAATTTCATCATCCAATAAAGAAGCTTTTCTCAGTAGCACTATAAAAGGCTATTTTATACTTGGGCAGTTTCATCAATATTTGCTAGCCTCTTTCACCTCCATTCCCTTATGTACAAGAGCCCACAGTGTGTTTTATGAGTAATTATCTTGCTTTTTGCATTTGCTCTACCTTTGGTCTTTAATGACGGCATATTCTAAGCACATATTTGTGTACCTGCACCAGAAGCAGTGATAATCATCATATATTACATTGATTACAAATGGAATAAAGCCCTTGTATATGAAACTTCCTCACTGGATTTTTATGCCTTTATTCAACATGTATTTTCTGGACACTTGGTAAATAGTTCTCAAACGCAAATGCTTGGGCCAGAACCTTGCACTGAAGATTTTGAAGCTGGATATGGAATCCAGGCAACTGTGATCTTTGGGATCAAAGGGTGAAATAAACAAGTTGAATTGTACCAAGGATTGTGCTTGGTGATAGAGATGATCTTAATAAACTCAAGTCTAAAGCCAGGAAAACAACACAAAATCATAGCTGAGATAGCTGAATAAAACAACAGAAACAGGCTGCAAGTGCTGAAGACGCAAACCAGAGGGTGCATAACTTAGAAAGTCAGGAAACACTTCCCAAGAGTATAAACAGAAGAAGCTGATGAAATAAATAAGCATTTGTCACATAACAGAGTAGTAGAGGAAGAACAAGCAAAAAGCCATTCCAAGAAAGGGAAGCAGTATGTGTCAAGCTTTTAAAGAGAACAGGAACAATAAGTGCCTTAGTATGTCATCCTAAAAAAATGCATCCTTAGGGCTAGAGGAGGACTGGGGTTAGCAAACTGAAGTCTCTAACTACCTGTTTCTTTATATACAGTTGCTATGGAATACAGCCATGCCCATTTAAACAGATAATGTCCATCCCTGGCTTAGAATATGAAAGCAGATATAGCAATACTTAAATAATTTAACAGCTGACCCTTACTGAGTGCTTACTATGTACTAGATACTGTAGAAAGCATTTTTCATGTATTTACACTTAAGTCTCACAACAATCGCAAAGGCTGCCACTATTTGCTCTAGTTTGCAGATGGGCAAGGCACTAAGAGGTGGGTCCAGAAGAGGAACATGAGCTGTCAGACTCAACAGCCAAAACTCCTAGCCATTCTATTACAAAACATATACTGAATTCAGCTCATGAAAGGTCTTATGTGTCAGTCAAAACATTTAACATCATCAAGATTGTAAGACTTGTAAAAGCTAGCTTTAGGGTAAAGAATGGATTACAATTAGGATACTTGAATAAATACTTGAAAGAAACAATAGAAAATGAAACTGAGATAGCAGCAACAGCTATGATTAAAGATAAATGAAATTATAACTCTGGGGTGTACAATCAATAGAATATGCTTATTGGTTTGCTGTGCTGGATGATAAAGGAAAAAAGGGGAAAAAAGAGCCAACTTTGCACAACTGCACAATGAGTTCATAGAGATGGATAACACTGGAAGACACTGTAGAGTAAAGGAGATATGTTTAGTTTTGTATTTGTGAAAATTCAGAACAGCATTAATATTATAAATGGAAAGTGAAAAAGACCATAAAAGGAAAAGAAATGGAATTTCATGTTTTTAAACGAATATACTCTTATATGTGTCTTTCACCAAATATTCAACTAATGAAAGGGAAAAAGAAAATCTGGCTCAAATTAATAAAGTAACTTTCTAATGTCAAGCAAGGTTCAAGTAATATAATAACTTTTAATGGCTTTTGAAGTTGACACTCATTAAAAGTATTCAAACAAAACTGGCTTGGAAATATTTTATGTAGAAGATATTCCTTCAGAGAAATGTAAACTGCACTAAATAATCTCCCAGATACCTTCCATTTCTAGAAGTCTGAGTAAAGACTACTTAATTTAACCTTGACTTTAAGTTTATTCTTACCTCTAAAGTTCTCAACAATGTTTGTGTTACATAGGTCTTTCCACTGGCAGTGTGTCCATAAATAAAAATGGATGGAAAGCTGAAATGATGTCTCTAGGGGAGAAAGGCAAACATCAGTCTGCACAAACAAAAAAAGCACACTTTTCAACTTGTGATAAAGTTTTATGGGGTACAGTAAAATATTCAATCCAAAATATTCCAACAGTAAATATACAGTGGATGCATCAGCACATCTGAAACTTAAATTCAATTCTAAGCACTATCTGTTATGAAATCCTGTCAATAAAAATATAATTATATACCATATATAGCACTATAATAAAATGTTGCATGATTATTCTTTTATTATTGTACTGGCTTGCATATACAAACTCTTGCATTCTCAACTTTCTAGATTTATGGGACTTTTCAAGGATAATTTTATCTATACTCCATTTTTGTCTTAATACTTTAATTTCATTTTAATGTTTAAAACTAAGCATATATGGTCACAGGGTTAGAAGACATTTCAAGAGATCTCATTTTTAGTAAAACATAAAATACTTTTGAATTATGCATACTCATTGACCTTGGCACAAATGTGTACATTTCATCAAAGTAAACATCAATAAAATTTGCATAGCACATATTTAAAACCACATATTGGGACTAGGGGGTGTAGCTCAGTGGTAGAGCACTTGCCAAGCATGCCTGAGGGCCTGAATTCAATCTCCAGCACTGCAATAATTAAATAAAAAATACACATTCATAAGATCCTTCTGCAGTACTTTATCAGCCCAGAGAAAAGTAAAAATTGTCAAAGGTCCCTCTACTGGTCTAGTCACTACTTCAAGTTTCATTCATTCTACAGACACTATGAGTGAGATTCCTACTAAAGACTGAGAGCCAAAATGTACTGAATAACACAAAGTCAGGAGACGGACATTTTAAAAATAATTACATGAAAACTGAATGATGCAACTTCCACAAGAGTTGAGTCTCTGATCATTATGTACCATAGCAATAGTAGTTGCAGACATTTATTATAGTCTAGTCTCTAAATTAAACACTTCTTGTTAGAAGACAAATCAGGAACTCAGATTTACACAGGAAAAAGCTTTCCAAGTGGCTCACAAAACAGCAAAAGCAACCCAGCCATTAAAGAGACAAAATTTACTAAGTCAATATTTTAATACATGAATTCTTAAGATCATATGTAATAATCACATATTAATTGGCTCAAAAATTCTGTTTCAAGTATTAAATGTACTGTATATTGCTGAGCATCCTGGCTACCCAAATACTATACTTCACCCTTAATTAAAAGTTCATGGCCATGATTCACAAGTTTTTTCCAACCTTCAATAAAACTGTCATTTTTGGAATCCTGCCACACTTCTCTATATCCATTATTTGGTCCCTACTAATATCCCTACTTATAAAATCTTTTCAATCCTTATCTAGAATTATAATGAACTCTTGCACTCTTATTTCACTTTTCACCTTTATAAATCTCCATGAAAACTACAACAAGCCAAGACTCAGTGTCTGACACAGAAAAGATGCTCAATAAATACTTCTTGAAAAAAATAAATGATTTTTGTTGTTGGGTTTTTTTTTTTTTGGTACCGGGGATGGAACTCAGGACCTTGCACTTGCAAGGTAGATGCAGTGCCACTGAGCTAAATCCACCCCCCACCCAACAAATGAATTTTTATAGAGATAAAAATCAGTTTTTTGTAGTTTTTTGCCATTAGTTCTTTGGATTTCGCAAATGCATGCATCCCAAATGCATGATATGCAGTAAAAGCAAAGATCTAAACCCTTTCTGTTTTCTGATTTCTAGATCCTCTAGTCTCAGGAGGACCACTTTTGGTTTCCAGTGATTTGGGTTTCTCAATTTTAGGAAAGGGATTCATAGAATATAACCAAGAAACTATTTCAGTGATAACATAGGTAACTATAATTTAAAACATTGTAACAACTGGCTGAGTATGCAGTTGGTGACCTCTTAAGTAATGTGTCCGTTTAGATGGAGGCGGTGCTCTTCCACTAATACTTCACAGGCCACCTCAAGACTGACAGTATTTTTTTTTTGAGGAGCCAGCATTTTTAGTTGGATGAAGGCACATAGAAAAAGCAAACCAGAAGATGGTTAAGTTTTATTTACTTTTCTCACAAATAAGATCCAAATCTGATTAATTATATTTTCTTTTTTGCCTTTATTAGTACATGTTTGTAGAACATGATGATTACATTCACTGTGGGAAGTAAGTACATGTACATAACGTTATCTTAATTCTTTTTATTCCCCTCCAAGTCTGATTAATTCTAAGCAAGAGGGACACCAGAAAAAAATAAGAAATAGATAAAGTTTTGAATTGCCTGTTACCTCATGCCTAGGGAAAGGACTCCCCAGCTGTGTCCATGCAGAGAAAACAACCTCTCTTCTAGGCATTCTCTGAAACTACCAGTCAAGGACAGAAAGGAGCCTAGACTAAGACCTTTTCAGGGCTTTTGCAAGTGGAAAAGCTGCTAGAATTTTAAGCCTGGCATACTGCTTTGGTCCTCAATGGCCTTGAAAACAAGCCACCTCTCCGTGCCTGATTTCCACTAACTACCTTACTGAAACGTGTGAATTTAAACTTGAATACTCCGCAAACCCGCCTGTTATATAAAACCCTGTTCAGTCGGGGTAAGGTAACGAGCAACTTCTGGGGTTTACTCTGGGCTAACACCTCGAAAGAAGGGCGTGTGTGAAAGAACACATCTTGGCCAACGTCCTATATTCTTCCTGCGCAGGGTCCTTTGAAAGGGACTAATGAGAAAGAGTGGGTGAACGTGGAGCAGAGCTACAAGACCCCCTGACCCCATCACAATGCAGAAGTCGATTCGTCGCCACCCCCTCAAGGGAACAGGTCGCACGGAAACGAATTTGACCACAGTACCTCTCCAAACAGAGACTGCAAGGTGGACACTTGGGCCTCTCGACAGAGCACCATGCTCTCCAAGTGAGGCATCGTGGCGGACGGACACCGGAACAGAGCGCGGCGCGCGCCCAGTCCCAAGCGGTAACCTCACAGCCCGGCGGTTTCCGCGTTCGCACCGGAAACCTGACCCGCCGCCCTGTGGGCGGGGTCAGCGCGCCCGGGCGTCGGCGGGACGTCAGCGCGTACGCAAAGCGTAGCTACCGCACACTTCTCTCACACCCTGGCTTCTACGCATTCGTTTGTCCTCTGAGCCGTCTGACTGAGAAGAGGCAAGCTGTTAGGTGGCGATATGGGAACGCAGCGTTTTCCATCAAAACCGGAGAGGCCTAGGTAGGGATGGGCGAATTGAAAAGGGGTGGAAGGCGCTAAGGGCCTCTGTGGGCTCCCATTACCCCCAAACCCGTGGCTTCAGTTTTCCCGCCTGGAGTCCCCAAATTTGAAAATCTTGAGTGCCAAGGAAGGAGGCTCTCTCCTTCCTGCGATCTGTGGAGTTGACTCCAAGGACTAGTATGTTAAAAAAAAAGGCTTTTACCAGAGGAGACAGTGAAATTAGTGGCATCCAGTATTAGTATCCAGTGAATGAATAATTTTGGCTAACTGTTCTTTGTGGAAACCTTAAACCACATCTGGAACTGCCTCTCCTTAGGAGGAGGAGGTTCTAGTGTGTATTGGTGAGGGCGGTGATATTATAGTTAAATATAATTCTGTCGTGAACATAAAACGTTCACTGTACTTATTCGTGAAGGCCTACTAGAAACTGGACTCCAGAAAATTAGAGAAATAAAAAGATAGAGAAGTAGAAAAATGTGTTTTGAAAGGAGTGCTTGCGGCCCTGAAAATTGTGGTTTTGGAGCACTATCTGCTTCTGAACTGTGAGACTTTGTAAGAATCACTAGATCACTCATTTTGAGTCTCAACTTCCTTATCTACAAAATAGGCGTAATTAATACTAGGAACAAAGATGATATATATTGTGCTGGAAACACAAATTTTATAACCAGTGTAATAAGGCAAGAAAAAGAAAATGCACCCAGATTAGAAAGAAACCAAATTTAGTAATAAGCAATTTAGTATCACCTATGTAGAAAATCTGATGGATTCTTTAAAAAAAGCTACTAAAACTACTGAGTGAACTTTGCTGGGTTCCAAGATTCAAGAGCAATATCGGGCAAAATTCTAAGTATTAGCAATAAACAATTGAAAATTGAAACTCAAAATATCAATATAATTTTCATAATATCAAACTTATGAAATACTTAGGACTAAGTTTGACAAAAAAGGTGAAAGACTTGCACACTGAAAACTATAAAATATTGGTGAAATAAATTAAGGAAGATATTTTTAAAGCAGATACCATGTTTATTAGAAGATTCAGTTTTGTTAAAATTTTTGTTTTCCCCTGATAAGCAGATTCTACACAATCCCCAATCAAGATCTTAGCATACTTTGTGTGTGTGTGTAGAAATTGACAGGTAAAAATATGCTGAAAAATTTAACAGGTAACAGTACTTAATGAAAAAGACAAGTCACAAGCACGTGAAAGGCATCCAACATTTTTAGTTAGGAAAATGCCTGTTAGTACCACAAGATATTATATGCCTCTTAGAAAGCCTAAAATGAGGAAGATTGACTATTTCATGTATTAGCCAGCATGTAGAGAAACTGGAACTTGAATATATTGTAGGTAAGAATGCAAAATGGTATGACTACTGTTGGAAAACAGTATGACTGTTTCTTAAAACATGTGGTAGACGCCCACTATATGACCCAGCCATTCCACTTGTAGATGTTGAAAAATAAGATATGTTTATACTAGTACAAAGACTTGTAGTCTACTGTTCATGGTAGTTTTATTTGAAATATTCCCAGACTGGAGACAACCTAAATTCCATCAACAAGTGAGTTTACAAGTTGTGGGATATAACACAGTTTAATACTTATCAGCAATAAAAAGTTAATTTATGCAACCGGAATAAATCTCAAATAATCATACTAAGTGAAGAAGCTAGACATTCCCACATAGAAAAGTACAGTTGTACTCAGTATTCATTCCACATCTGTGGATTCGACCAACCTTGGATTAAAAATATTAGAGAAGGTTGAAGGTGTAGCTTAGTGGTAAGGTACATGGTTAGCATGTCCAAGACTCTGAGTTTGATCCCCAGTATCCCCCCCCACACACAATATATATTTATATACTGAACATATATAGTCTTTATATACAATATCATTGTTAGGTATTAGTAAAAGTAATCTAGAGATGGTTTAAAGTATGCAAGAGGATTGTGTAGGTTATTCATACAAACAAATACTAGGTCATTTTATATAAAGGATATGAACATTCACAAGTTTAGGTATCTGTAGGGGTTGGAGGTGGAGGATTCTTAGACCAATACATGTATTATAAGGGATGACTGTATGTTGTATGTCTCCATTTTTATAAAATTCTAAAAAACATGAAATATTAGTTACCTAGTGATAGGAGGTTGTCTGGAATGAGGAAAAGAAGCCTGAGGACATTTGGAGGAATGGTAAGTATTATGTATAGGAAATAGGGTCTTTGCAAACTTCATCAAGTTTAGATCAGGTCATTAGTATGAACCCTATTCCAAGACTACTGGCATCCTTGTAAAAGAGACCATATGAAGACACAGAGACAAGGAAAATGCCAAGTGAAGATAGAGTTGGAGATTGGAGTAATACATGTACAAGCCATGGAATGCCAAGTTTGCAGGCCCTCACCAGAACCCGGGACAGAGGCATGGAGTAGAATCTCCCTCAGAGTCCTCAGAAGACATCAACACTGCTGACACCTTATTTTGGACTTCTAGCCTTCAGAACTGTTGGACAATAAATTTCTGTTATAAGACACCTAGTTTGGGAATGTTTTCTCTAGTTCTGTGCGGTATGCTATTGGTATTTTGATTGGGATTGCATTAAATCTGTATAACAATTTTGGGAGTATGGCCATTTTTACTATGTTTGTTCTTCCTACCCACTAGCAAGGGATATCTTTCCATTTTTTGATATTCTCTTCAATCTCCTTTTTCACAGTACTATAGTTTTCAATGTAAAGATCTTTTACTTTGTTAGATTGGTTCCTACATATATCATTTTTTCGATGCTATTGTGAAAGGCATGTGTTTCCTAATTTCTCTCAGTAAGTTTAGTGTAGACTGGTGCAACCACTGTGGAAATTAGTTTAGAGAATCCTCAAAAAACAAGGAGTAGAGGGCCAGGGATTACGCTCAGTGGTTCCGGCGCCTGCCTGGCAAGCCCAAGGTCCCAAGTTCGATCCCTGGTACCAAAAAAAAAAAAAAACAACTAGGAGTAGAGGTTCCATTTAACCCAGCCATCCCCCTTCTCAGTATCTTCCTGAAAGAATTAAAAGCATCATACCACAGTGATATATGGACACCATGTTCATAGCAGTATGGTTTGTAATAGCTCAGTCTTGAAAACAACCCAAATGCCCATCAACCGATGAATGGATAAAGATGTGATTTTTTTATACAGTGGAGTAATAGCCATAAAGAAGAATAAACTTGAGACATTTATAGTTAAACAGATACACCTAGAGACCATACTCTTAAGTGAAATAAGTCAGACACACATGTAAATATCACAGTGTGTGAGAAACTGAAAGTGTAAATAAGGACCAAAATGTATAATAGATACTGTGAAATAGAAAATGTTCAAATGGGAAGGGGCACAAGAGGAGAGGGAAGAAAAAATTTTAAAAATGAGATAAAATGGAAAAAAAAGCTCCAGAAAGAAGGGGAAGAGGGATAGAAGGGAGGGTAAGGGAATGGGAAAAAATATGAATCAAGATATACTGTGTACAGGTACAAATTCCATATGATGAATGTGATCATATATGTATATCTAAATTGTACCAATAAACTTAATAAAAAAGATGCCCAGTTTGTAGTACTTTATTACAGTAGCCCTTCAAAACTAATACAGTGGGTATATTGTGATGGATTTATGGACACATAAATGATTGAAAACTTAACCAAATTCTACACCTTCAATATGTGCAGTTAATTACATGACAATTATATCCCAGTGAACTTCAAATTTAAAGATTATGCATAGAGTAGTGAAGATAGTGTTCATATCTGTGATACTGATTAATTCAATTCTATTCCATTGAGATTCATTTAGAAAATGAAAACAATGATCAATCTTTGTCTTACTTGCTGTCTGTGATACATAGCCATGCTTTCTCACCTACAATTATTTTCTTATTCTATACCACCTGTATCTAAATTTAATTTATTTCTTCCCTCAAAGGGGTCATCATGGGGCTTATATTTTAATCTACCTGTACCTTTAGACTCATTTTGAATCTGCCCAGTTCGGTCTCTAAGGCCACAAATCAAATGCATGCAGAGTGCGGAGCATATCCTTTCATAATCACCACGAAGCTAGGCTGATCAGTGCATTCTTATCTGAAGATTCTGCTTCTACTGCCACTTTCACAGTTAGATGAAGTGCCACACAGCAGGGCATGAGATCTGGCGTCCTAAGGAGCTGCTGAAGGGAGCAGCTCAGAAGTAAGAGAAGGTAGCTTCCTAGGGTGTCAGTCCTGGCAGTATAGCAAATTTAACCAGTGGGAAATAAGACATAGCAGGGAGGCAGGGAGACACATTAGCTCTCCCGACATCCACACAATGACCTGGATAAGTGGCACGGATTTTTTTCCAAGTACTGTTCAACAACAAAACTAGGAGTAGAGGTACTGTTCAGCAACAAGCATCACTACCCATTTTCCAGCTCTAAGCATAAAGAAGCTGTACAGGAATTTTGAAACTTATAGTAATGAAAGCAGTTATGAGCCCCATACCCAACTCAATCCTGATTACATTGATTTGATCTCAAATTAATATAGCAGAATGAGCATTTTCAGAGATACAGATATATCCCCAAATCTATGCTGTTCTATTCCTCATGTATAGCATTCAATAAAAAACATATGAAATGTGCTATAAAGTGAGAAAAAAAGCCATTGTCAAAAAACCAAGCATATTACTAGTATTGCTCAGATGATCCGAGTATTTGAGGCATCAGATGTGGGATTTAAAATAATTTTAGTAAGCTAATGAATCTGTGTAAAATGTAAAGGATAGAGGAACAGATGGGGAATTTTAATAGAGATAGAAACTGAAGAAAAGAATGCTTTTGATTGGAACCTTTTACATATAATCACTTTTCAGCATTAACTCAGGCTGTATGTTCTAGAGAACAAACTGAAACACCTGTCTTTTCAGTTTGAGCTCCAATTCTATGAAATCCCCCTAGTTCCTCAACAAAATTCTCTAAAGTCCCATAATAATGATTATTTACATTCACGTAGCACCTACATTCTTAACCTTGTATCACAATAGTCCTCAACCTTTTGGCTCCAGGGACCAATTTTGTGGAAGACAATTTTTCCACAGAATGAAGGAAGGGGTGATTTAAGGTGATTTTATTGTGCATTGTATTTCTATCATTACATTGTAGTATATAATGAAATAGTTGTACAACTCACCATGATGCATAATCAGTGGGAGCTCTGAGGATGTTTATCTGCAACTAGACAATACTATCTGGGGGTGCTGGGAGACAGTGACACTTGAAATGTGTTGGTTATATCCAGTCTACTCTGTATTCTTATTTTGGTTGCTGTCACTGCAGAAAACCCTGCTTCACAAAGATAGGATGCTGCAGGGGCCAGGGATTTAGCTCAGTGGTTTTGCTGCCTGCTGCCCAAATGCAAGTAACCGAGTTCGATCCCCGGTACCACAAAAAAAAAAAAAAAAAAGATATGATGTTGCAAAGGGAAACAGCCATTTTAGCACTTTTGTGGCACTCAAGATATTCCACCTTGATTTTAATCTTGAATATATGGAGATCTGAAGTTGTCTCAAACATAGTTTTTTTTTTTTAAACATATTTTTAAGGCCACAATCACTTGCAGTTTCAGTCAATCCTCTCCTAGTACAAAGTCGATTCACCTAGTTTATTCACAAATGGGTCACGGATTATTTTCTTCAAGTTTGAGGGTCTTTTTGGTTAGAAAGTAATGCTAAAACTCTTGAAAGGTAGGTAGTCATGCACCAACTGGAGAAAGAAGCCCCTGGCTCAGTCGCTTTCAAAATCTTTGCTAATATTTGAAACGTCAAAAATCCCAATGTTCATTCACTGTCCCCATAATTACACTTCGGCTTTAAATGCATCCACTTTTATCTGTTGACTTGAACACAGTTGTCATTCTCCCCTGAAATGACAGATTGAGCTTATTGAGCATGTTGAATATCAGAGTAAGAAAGTTTTATGACCCGTTCTGTGTCACTGAAATGTCCTGCCAGGGTGACTGTTTTTTCTAAAACAAATCCCAGGAATGGCTCTCATAACTCAAAAACTGGCCAGTGACCTACCTTTATTTATTTATTTATTTATTTATTTATTTATTTATTTATTTGGTACTGGGGAATGAACTCGGGTCCTTGCACTTGCGCAGCAGGTGGCGAAACCACTGAGCTAAATCCCTGGCCCCAGTGATCTACCTTTAGAAAGACATGTCGTGTATATAAGAAAAGACAAGTACTCTACATCCATCTCCTCACAGAGCTGTGCAGACAGATGAGTTAAGGGGGTGTACTTTAATGTGGTTGATAATTTAATCACATCCTGCAGAACATTGTTATGGTCAGGTGACACTTTTTTGGCTAGCTAGTATTTCTCTGTAGATGACACAATCAATTGTAGACTCAGTAAGAAGCAACCTCATTGACCCAAGTAGTGAAACCAGAAAGCTCGCCATGGTAGTTGCTCTTTTTGTGCATGCACCAACACAAAATGACCAATTCATTTTCCATGATATATAATCAAAGATTTGAAAAGCTCTGCATCTGTGATGTTGGTTGGCAACAAAATTGCAACGTAACACATCCTCATGCACATTCTCCTGGACAAATATTGCATAAAAACAAGCATTGTTGCTTTGTTGCCAACATAAGTAGACTCATCAACCTGGATTTGTACCACAATGACTCATAATTCTCTCTATCAGTTGTGCCTCAGTAGCTTCTGAGAGTTCATCAATTTGTCTAATTATGGTGCTAACTGAAAGACAAACTCATACCACCATTTGAACTGCAGCCTCTCCTAAAACTTCATGACAAATGTTCTTAGCAGCAGTCAGAATTAACTGCTCACCAATAGTAAAGAGCTTCTTAGCTTTAACAATGTAGTTGGCCACTAAGAATTATGTGCTGAGTGCAGGTACATTTGATGAAATGGTGGCCTTCAATTATTGCTTCTGTTCCTCATATTCATTTTTAAAAAAATACTCCAAAGGCTTGTCTTTTAATTTAGGGTGCTTGGTGATCATGTGGCAGTTTTGAAGATATCATAGCTTCGCTGGAGAGCTGGCTGCCACATGTTATACAAAATGAGCTTGGAGAATGTGAATCACCTATTGTAATGAACCTGCTATTTTCTTTTAAATGCAGCTTTCTTTCTGTTGGCAATTTAGAGTGTTCTGCATCTCATAATAATTGAGTCTTTTTCTCCTTTTAAAAGAAGTTCTCCAGTGATGTTTGGGGTTTTGTTTGTTTGTTTTGTGGGGGGTTTTTAAACTCATTTTGGCTAGGTTGCCAAAACTGACTGAGACAAGTTCAAAGTGTGGAAATGAGGCACAGATAGAAGTGGTAAATAAAATATTGGGCTGGCTGTGCATGGACTAAAATAAGTGTCAGATTCTGACTTAAAGCCTACCACCAGATGCAGCTTGGCATGTGCCACTCACTGATGGGGATAACCCCCATCAGGTTTATGAGGTTTATGAGCAATTGATTTGTAATGGTCTCTATGCAGTCAAACCTCTCTGCTAATGTTAATCTATATTTGTAGCTACTTTTCAGTGCTAACATCACCACCTCAGCTCCACCTCAGATCATCATGCATTAGATTATCATAAGGAGTATGCAACCTAGACCTCTAATGTGCAGTTCACAGTAGGGTTCATACTCCTATAAGAATCCAACACTGCCACTGATCTGACAGAAGACAGAGCTCAGGTGGTAATGTGACTGATGGAGAACAGCTGTAAATACAGATGAAACTTCATTTCCTCACCTGCTGTTCACCTCCTGCTGTGCAACCTGGTCTGTGGTCTGAGGGTTGGTGCCCCTGTTGTATTATACTCGTGTTCTGGGGGCACAACTGTACTAAAAGTAATTCAGATTTATTTATTAGTTTATTGAGGACTTATGCTGGGATGCAATGGATACTGTGGGACCAAGTGGACATTGTAACTGTCTTCCTTAAACTTGCAGTCTAGTGAAGACACAATATGAAGAAAGCCTCAATAAATAACAATTAATATAAACACTTATGATGAATAGTTGAATAAATTTTTGGATAATCTCTTTTCCACAGTTATTTTCCTGTCTTCTTTATATTTTATTTAGCTAAAATACAGTTTTTCTTATGTTCCATATAACATTATTTTAGAATTTCACTGAATATAGCCTCATTTTTAAAAATGTCTTCTTTGTTGGATAAATGATTTAAAAATAGCTCTAAGTGTTGGGTTTTTATTGCAGGTCCCTAGGTTTTAATACTTCATACTCCCTAAGAGCTATTAACATATATTAGAAGTCTTATATTGAATAGGACAAATATTTTAGTTTGTCTCAACTCAGTTATTTCATTTATTTCAATGAAATAGATTTTAAAACCTTATATCACAAAATAATGAGTGAATGTAGTAAAACTATATTCAAAAGGGATTTATGTAGTGAAATAAAATTTAATATCAGGGAGAAATTAAATCAATATTAAGCTGAAAAAGCAATTCAGTTAACTTTTCCACTGCAACAGTGAGATCAATTTTTTTACATAACTTCTTTTAAACTTTCAAAATTGCATATCTAATGAAAATTTATTGGACAGCTAATTTAATATTTCTTTCAGTATTCACTTCTATGAGTGAATGTTCATGAATGCATTATTATTCAGAATGTAAATAATAAAGCACAACATCTAGACTTCAACAGACCTGGCTTACCATTTTGCCTTCAACACTTATTAAGTGTAACTTTAGGCATGTTTATTTTCTAAGCCTTGGTTTCCTTACCTGTGTGTATGTGGATGTGTGTGTGTGTGTGTGCGCGCATGTAAATATGACACCTACTCACAAGATTGGTATCTCTGTATCTCCAGGAAGAGATTATCTCCACCTTGAACTTCCTCAGCAGCCTGACTATCGTTCATTAGAGTGCAAGGACCAAAATAGAAGGTAGGAATTTTTGTTGGTTTTGTTTAATACTGAATCTCCAGTTCCTGGAAAAGTGACTAGCACATAAGGGTGCTCAGTTAATATTTGGTCAGTGAATTTATATATATGGTGCATTTAATATAGTGCCAAGCACATGGCAAATACAAAATAAGTATTATTGTGATTATTATTTTACTGATTAATTAACCCAACCAGAACCAAATTTTAATTCTTGTTCTCCTACTCCCATAGTCTTACATTTCATTAATTAGCACTGTATTTTTTTCTAGTAATTAAGTCCCAAAATTGTGAAGTCTTATTTCTCTTTTTGTTGAATACCTCACAGACCCATCATAAGACCTGGATCTACCTTCAAGATATTGTTGCAAGGCACTGTTTCAGGGTTCTCTTAGATTTCTGCACATCTTATGACTGAGGCACTGAATGGCTTTTTTTTTTTTTCTGAACTGTATCTTCCAGGATGTTTAGCAAACAACTTTGGAAGGTGTAGTATCTCCTCTGGAGCAAAAGAGCAGGCATGAATTCTGTCTAGTAGTAAAGATAATGTCTTCCTGGGAAGCAAGGAGGAAGCATATTTATTGCCCATGATAAAAGATTCAGGTCCTCAAAGCTTAGGATTTCCTCTCTTGGAACAAAACCCACTGCATGTGCTGGTGTTGCCTGGTCTTTGTTTTGTCACTGTGGGGATTAGGACTTAGGGAACTGGCATGAAAATGCTAATACTAGGATACAGATTGAACACGGATCATGGAAGGTTTCCTAGAGCAGTGGTGGCACACCTATGGCACACATGTCTTTCTTTTAAGACAAAAGATGTTCATGTATGAGGTTTTTTTTTTTCTAAACTAAAACCTCAGTATTCAGGTTTAAGTACAGTGTTGACACTTTGCAGTAAATAAGTGGCTTTGGGGTCGCAATTTGAGCATTCATCTCTGAAAGGTTTGCCATCACTGTTTTAGAGTGTGAAAACATTAGAAGACCTGTAGGGCTTTGGATCTAAGGTAGAGAGAAGAAATGGAAAACAGCTAGAAAAAAGTGTTGAAAACAAGTTGGAAAGATAAGGGTGCCCTGGGTATTTTATTCATATATGAATGATACAGAATCAACACGATCCAGAAGATCATGGGGAATCATTGAAGGATTTTAAGTTTGGATATTTACAGTTTGGAAAGATCACAGTGGTGGCAGTATTGAGAATATTGAAACAGGTAGAATTTGGAGACACTTTTAAATTTCTTATTCAGTAAACTGGTTGATAATTTATAAGGAATTCAAACAAAATGGCAGAAATAGGGTCAGATTAAAGATTCAAATATTTTAAGGATTATAACATATTTCTCCTATGTGTATTTCAAATAAAAACTATTTTGATTCATAAAAATAATTGTAAGAAAATTTGATTATGTTTGTTGAATGTAGTCCTTTATGATATATAAAATATTACATTCTTTCCAATTTTTCTTATTTGATTCTCAGTGTCTTAGAGAAATTATTGGTCAAAGATTAAGGAAGACTTTCTCCTCCTTGTCAGGGAATAAGTTAATTATCTGGTTTGAAAGGTTCAGAATGTTAAGCAACATTTTTATTCACTAATAATCAGATATTACCTACACATTGGTTTCTCAATTCTCTAATAAATTTTCTTTTCTACAATTATTGCTTAATTTTTATAGCAAATGGCTCTCCTGTTATAAGTAACTGATAAAAGGATTTCTATGTATAATTTCTGTAGATATTATCTGGTCATCATTGCCCGAGATGGTGGTGGTGGTGCATCTGAGATGAGTGACAGTGAGGATATCTCAGTATAATTTTTGCTTTATTATTTGGGGAACTTACTGGTAGGCTTCCTCTACTGTTTATCAGAACTATAACAAAATAACAAGTATGCAAAAATTCCTATGAGCAAGCAAGATAAAAAAGATTTTAATAAATATCTATGTTTTAATTTCTCCTGCTTATATCAATTGTTTCTTGGGAACAGAATGGTGTAGATCTTTCAGTATTATGACCTTCTTGTGTTTTTTACCAAGTTCATTTTTTTTCAGATAAAGGTACAATTCTTACAAGACAAATAGCCAAGAGTCTTGGCCCATGAGATAGAAATCTGAGATCTCTCTGGAACCCTATACTGTACTAATAACTTAAACATGCAATAAAGCTATCTATTAGCTAATCTAACACCAGGAAGAAGAAATGAAGAGAAATACAGAGGTTTAAGAGATATTTAGATGGTAGAATTGACAGATTAATGAGAAGTAGAAGACAAGAATTACTGCTGCTGTACTAAGTGTACATCGCTGGAGTCAGGAATATGAGGAGGAACAACTTTGGGAAAAGAGGGAAGATGAGTTCTCTTTCAGGCAGGCAGAATTTGAGGGGCCTGGAAGACATCCACATGGTGATGCTCAGTTGGCTGAATGGTTCTGTAGTTTAGAAAAATCATTTGAGCTAAAGACTCAGGTATAAGAGTCATTAACATTTAAATGGTTGTTAAATTCTTATGATAAGTGAAGTCACTCAAGCAGAGTGAATACAATGAGAAGATAGATAAAGGGAGTATGGAAACATGAAACATCAATATTTCACTTAGCTGGACCTGGTTCTTCTGGATCAAACCAGGCAGACTGGAGCTGTGGGTGGTCACAGTCAGTAATGCCACCTAATTCTGGACAAAGGCAAATAGACATCCTCTCTAGAGAAAAGTGTCTCTGATAGGGACTCCATAAATTAAGATCAACCAATCACAGGGCCAGCTATTGTAGGATAAATTGCGGTACTGACCACTGGGAGAGGGGGCATCTTCCCCATTCTGGAACCAAATGGGCAGGTGCCAGCAGCTTTCTCTGAGCCCAAGGCTACACCATCGGGAAACAGCTTGTCAAATAGGAAAATCCCTTAGTTGAGCCCAGGGTTGTCAAGGAGAATGATGAGTTTTTGGCTCTGGGCCGAATTCCTTGGGTGTTTGCTGGCAGCCACAGCTGTAGCAAAGAGAAAGCAAAAGCAAGAGTGTTGATTTAAAAAAAAAAAATTGATCAAATCCACAAAAGTTGCTAGGGTTAGGTAATTGAGAAAGAAAAGCTAGAGCCATTTTAGGGGGAAATAAACCTCAGGAACCTCTCAGAAGGTCACAGAGGAGGAAAGAAAGCAATGAAAAAAGATGGGGAAGGAGGTCCTGGGGCTGGGGAAATTCTATTGCATTAGAGATAAGGGCCCTTATTCTTGCCTTCCAGACAGATGCACAGCTCTCAGTCCTAGAAGGTGAGGGTGACCCACCCATGCCTCTCCCTGGGCCTCACCCACACAACTCCAGTGCTGTTCTGCAAACCAGGGGGCAGAGGAGCTCTAACCTGGTTGGGTCTGTTTAGAGTAGAGGACAAGGGCAGGATTTTATTGTCACTGTCTAATCTCCAGCCATGCCCCTTGGGGGTTGCTACTGCTTAAAATGCTGAGGACTCCCCTTGGATGGCTTAGTTTTGGTCTCTGGACTAAACCATGATAGCCCAACCCGATTCCCTGTTGACGACTCTTACATTGGAGGGCTTAGTCTGACTGGAATGCAGTCTGACATGTGCAGGAGGAATCAGAGATGGAGGGGAGAAGTCTCACCCCTTAACAACCATACCCTGGCAGCATCACTGGTCACCAGGAAAAGAGGACCTTAGCAGACAGCTGAAAGGATGATTGACACTGGAGGTAGCTCCGAAGCTATGCTTCTCTGCCTCTAGATGTCACCCTTGGAGTCAAAATAATCCTGGTGCCCTGAAACTCCATCTCCCCAGAAACCTGCCCCTCAGGGGAAGTGACAAACCCTAACTGGTTGAATTTAGAGACTTTTGCCCCAAAGTAAAGGGCTGAGAAGGTGAGATTGAGGGCAAATTACTGCTCTCCTTTCTATGTCATATATGTGGTAAGAAAGGAGGTTAAAGGCTGAAATTGTGAGAGAGAACAGATACCTTTAGAATGTTGACTCTTGCCATCCAGAGTACAATGTAAATTTTGATGTTGCTCTGGATTTTATAAGTATAAGCAATACTAAGTCAATTCAGTATAGTCAGTTCCTACTTTGCACAGTTCCAGTATTCAAAAATTTTAGCTACATGCTTTGATTTAAGAAACCAGCCCCCCAGTAGTTTGGTTCAGATTTTAATTACCGTGGTATGTTAACTGTGAGTGATTGAATAAAGTACAAATCATTGCATAGAAAACAGATAAGCACTTTGAAGTCATCAAGCACATTACTTTCAAAGACTATGCATGACTGATCATTGTACATTTATTATTAAGTTCACACATAGTGAAACATATAGACACATTGCTCCCGTCTTCTGGTGATAAACTCATGCAGTATTTTACAAAATGGATACTCGAAGGAAATGCTCACCAAAAATAAAAGTACAGCAAAGAACTGTAAAGTGGTGAGGTTGAAGGTGAAATTTGAATCACCCATCAGTAGAGTTACAGAAGGAATAATGTGGACATTGCCACAATTCAAGAAACTTGGCATGGAATCAGAGAAATTCTGTGAAGGTGAATTTATGGACAAAAATGAAGATAGAATGATGAAAAGGATGAAGGTGTCCCAGAGAAAGTGACACTGGCTAAAATCTTTCCCTTAAAGAAATGCTCAGAGATACTTCTCAGCATTGAAAGCACAAAGGGTGAAAGTCAAGAACATTTTTTACACAACAGTAACAGTATAATATACTTTAAAAAGAAATTGTTGCCAAAGTTATAATAAGTTCCCAGCAATAAATCTAACAGAAAATGAGCAAGAGTTTCAAGAAACCATGAACTCATTTAAAAATAAGTATATATGTGAACACTTTGGGCTGTTTGGCCCCACCCACAGCCACTTGGAAGCAAAACCCACAAAATCCTTAGGACCACTTTGGAGGGGGGTAGGAGCACAAGGTGCTGAGAAGGCCTAATATAAAGCTGAATATTTGTCTCATCAGAGAAACCCTCAACCATGCATTACCCCACTTTCACAGTACTTT